GCAGGATTTTTTTCCCTGTAACTGCATGAGAGGCTGGACTGATCAAGTCCAAAAAAATCCAGTAACTCAGGCTTGGCTTGTGCAGCCTGTTCCCTATCCCAGAGAGTACTCGCTACAACTTCCGACCTCCCCAGTCCTCATTCTGCTCTTACATTTCAGCAAAGCTGCCCATCTGCATGCACTCATGCAAACCCTTGTGGTGGGCCAGTTTAGGAGATACTTTCAGGAAGGGTTTTTTCACTTCCTAGGGAGAAAAAGAAGGGCAGCAACAGGCAGTAAAGAGTAGTGAGAAAAACCTTGGCTTGGAGGAGACCAACTTTTTCTAATGTTCCTTGAGCTCAGAAATTCCACTGGCAACTCTGTATCAAGTCACTTTTCTTTTCTTTATGGTATTTTTGGGTTTGTGATGCAATATCAATATATGCCCATGGTTTCTATTTACACAACAGTATATTTTTAGCAAAAATTCTGCTGTGTTCTCACTTTTTTTAACTTAAAAGAAAGCCTAGATTGTATCCTGCCGTGAAAAATAAACATGGCTCCTGTCCTCCCAAATGTTTATGTGGAAGAGTCATGCTGTGCTGATTGCTGACAAGTGTCTCCAATAGAAATTTAATGAGTAATTTTGCACCAATTTACCGAATAAAGTAGTTAAGTGGCACCATTTGCCATGTGAGTGATCAAGGAAGCAGTAAAAGCCATCTAGATATGGTGCTCAGGGACATGGTTTAGAAGTGGGCATGGTAGAGTTAATTAACAGTTAGACTTGATGATCTTAAAGGTCTTTTCCAACCATAAAGATTCTACAATTCTATGAATGTTATAGCTATTGAGGAACTGAGAATAAAACAGTTGATTAATATCAATCCAAGCCATAGCAGGGTCCTCTAGTGCTTTTCCTAGGCTGGCTATAATCCAGGCAGCAATTAAAACTCGAAAGCTTAATAGGTTGAATTTATCTCCATTATCTTTATGCAGTACAGGAATCTTGTTTATCTCATGGTATTTATTATGTACAGGGTCAGCCATAAGGGCAAGCAGTCAGATAGGGAGCCTCAGGTAAACCCGTGCACTGCATCAGAGGAGGAAGGGTTTCATGTCTTGACCACTAACCAGAGGCTCCTGTGGGCTGATGGAGTGGGTTCTGCATCTGATAAATGGTGCCAAACCATACAGAAACACTTGCTTCTGCTTTAATTATCTGCCTCCAGTGTCAGATTTGTAAACTATGCACACTTTTCAAAAATGTATTTGACCTGCCTGGGAATTTATTTTCCTAAGTCAGAAGATTTTCCTACAGTACAAGGCAGCCTGTGACAGCCTCGCCACCTTCAATGCCAGGGCAGGTGGCTCAGAGCCTTGCTCAAGTCCACTTTCAAATAGCTCAGGGTTGGAGATACCACACCTCTCTGGGCAACTTGTCCCTGTGTTTGACCATTCCCACAGTGAAAAAAATTGTTCTACTTCAAAACTGATCACAGCAAACATGGTAGTCGTGCATCTTTACATAGAGGGCAAATTGTAAAGCCTTCCATTACCACAGACTTTTCTGGAAGTCTTGCTTTAATGACACTTTACAAAATAGTTCACCACTGTGGAGCACATTAGGAAACCTCAGTGGGTGCTCCTTGCCTATCACAGCCTAGAGATCTTAACTTGAGATCAGCCTTTTGCTAGAAAATTCCATGGAAAGTTCTGAAAGTAAAGAGAAAATCTGACCCCGAAAGCATAAGCAGGGAGTAACGCTGCAGGGGCAGGTTTTGGAGCTGGGATGTAATCCAGGACCTTGGCTGCAGCATTGCAGCACCCTGGACTTCATTGCACAGAAACCTCTTACATGCCTCACATAGAAGAAATTGAGATTTTGGTTAACCTTTCTATAAATTTTGATCCAAAATGTGTTTTGTGGTGCTATTTATAGTAAAAAGCATGAAGAATACCTATGTACTTGTTGACATGCTCTTGTAAAATATGTGAAGTACCTTGTTTTATCTTGTTGTTTGGAAGACATCTCAGATAAAATTACTTGTCCTCTTGATACAAGTTGTCTCTCAGCCTGAAATACAGAATACATTATTCAGGTATTTGAACTGCTTTGCTTTCAAAATTTGAAGCTTTGCATGACCAGCTTAAGACATTTTAGGTTTTGATGCCTTGTCTGTGCAGACTTTGTCTCAAGTGGGCTGCTGGCCATACTTCATAAGCATAGTAAAAATTTGAGTTTCAGGTTTGAAATTTTCAATTATAATCTACTTATAGACAGACTGATCTTCTTGCTGTCCTCATTACAGTTCATCTCTAATGGAATTTACAAAAAAATATTTTTGAACTCCTAACCTTTTGTTCATTTTTTTTTGTACAAAATATTTCCATTAGAGATGCTTGTTTAAATGGAAGGGCAAATTAAATAAGATGTGAACCCAGCACTTTTAACTAATCATGGATTGCCAGATTTTGGAAGGTCTAGGTTGTTCAATGTAAATCCTTATAAATGTAAGTGCTTGTGTCAGGACATAGCCGTTTTCCCTAATTAATGGATTTTCTTCATTATTCACAGATCGAGAAGACCAGTCTATTCTGTGCACGTAAGTAAACTAATCTGTTTTAGTATTTCTCCATATTACAATATATTCTTTTATTCAAAATTGATACAAACATATTCTCCTCACTTTCAGTAAGCTTGAACTCTAGTCCTGGGAGATTTACCTGTTGATACAACACAAAGCAGGTATTGGTGCCGTTGGAAGTCTTTATGTGCAAAATTATTTCTTTAAATTGACTTTCTGAGTTCAGAGATTTAAGAGTTTACAATGAACAACTCAGTCATGTGGTTGTTTTCTAGAGGAAGCTGAGGAACTGAGGAAAGTGTGGAACACAGAGCGTCCTGGATAT